TAGGCCCAACAGTACAAGCACCCAATGATAAACGTAAACGTATTGTATACCTAAAATGTACCAATAAAAGAATAAAAAAAAAAGAAAGAAAATGTAAATACATACAATGGAAATATTACTAAGCTTTAAGAAAAGGAAAATCCTGTCACATGCTACAAGATTGATGAACCTTAGGACATTAAGTTAAAAAAGTCAATCACAAGAAAAAACTGTACAGTTCCACTCAAAAACAGTGTAGTCAAAAGTGGAATACTGCCTGTTAGGGGCTGAGGGGAGGGAAAAACGGGATGTTGGGGTGCCGTGGTGTCAGGAGCAATTCTACATGATTTTGGGGAAAAATCATTTCACAGTTAAATCATGATTAGGGCCTGCTTTTCACACCTACAGGCCAGCTATGGCATGTTGAAACATAACTCCATTTTCGCCTCTGGTCACAGCTGGACCTCAATGGTCTGGTGATGCTGTGATGCCCCAGGACAAGATTTACCCCAGCTAAAAACACTCTGGGAGGAACAAAATCTTCATCTGCATAGCTCCTCATTGTTCTAGGATTTTTGCCTCCACTGCCACCACTGGCCCCTGCTGCCCAAGTGACCTTTTACATTTGTTACTCTGATGTACTGAACTCCCTGCCCTGAGTCATCTCACATTTGTTTCTCCTGATATACTGAATAAAGGTGTGGCATGCACAGGGGCTTTTGTCTTTGCTGCCCAGAGCAGCACTGATCGGGCCCAAAGCTCAACTTCTTCTCAAAATCTCACTTTTTCAACCTTTCCTGAATAATAAGTTAATTAGCCTTGTGCTGTTGTGGTTCGCAGGAGACTAGTATTTACTGCAGAGGTTCTAGTAAAGTCCCTTTTTCCTGTTCCCTACACAGTGGGAGTAGGGCAAATTTTGCAAGGTGAAAGAATTTTAGAGATCTACTGTACAACGATGTGAATGTACCTAACAGTACTCAATTTTATGCTTAAAAATGGTTCAGATGGTAAATTTATGTTTTTCTATCACAATTTAAATTTTTTAAATAAATCAGACTAATATATATACTAAAAGCTGCTATAAAAATCATAACCAAACACATTCATCCCATTTTTAAAGAGATTTAGTAATATGACATTTATTGCTTTTTTGTAGTTTTAAACTGTGAAAGTACACTCCTAAGGTAGGGTTTAGGTTTAGATCTAGAATGTCTTCCAAAAGTCCAATGTATTCAGAAATGAGGCTTTTGAAAGGTGATTGAATCATGCGGTGCTCCACTTATCAGTGAATTAACCCACTGATGAGTTCACAGCTGAATGCATTGTTAGGAGGTGTGGGGGGCCTTGCCCCCCCCCACTAGTACTCTTGAGTGCCTTTTACGGGCATGTCTAAGCCTGCTGCAAGTCTACCCGACAACAAGGAAGTAGCCCCAGTACCCTCCCCTTGCTCCCTCCCTCTAGCCCTACGGTATATATGCTGTAACAGCTTCCGCAATAAACGGGACTTGATCAGAAACCTGTCTTGTCTCCATCTCTCGTGTCCCCTGTCCTTTGTCATTCTCACTCCCCCTCTAGGGTCTCCGTTGACTTACCCGCGGGCCGGGACAAGGAGGTGCAGCCTGGCCAAAACAGACAGGTTATTGGAGGTATAATGTAGAAGGGCATATCACCTATTCAATTCCTCCCTTTCTCTGCTTCCTGGCTGCCATGAGTTGAACAGCGTTCCTCCTCCATGCCTTTCCCCCATGCTTTTTCTGCCTAGAAGTCAGCCAACTGTGGACTGAAATGGTAAACCAGGGAGGACCTCTCCTCCTTGG